CCCAGCCTGGTTGTAGGCGTGAGCTAAAAATTATACCCGGCCTAGTTGGAGGCGTGGGCTATGAAGGGCTCACAAGTGAGGGGGCGTGTTGGAAATATCACTTGTGAGTTGTTCCACATTGATTTGATAGAGTAAATGAGCCTAGTTTATAAGTCTAGTGGTCTACTCCTCTCATCACCAATTAGTTTTGGGATGAAACCTCACTTGGGCTTCATTTGGGCTAACCCCCTTATGGTGCGCTTCACTTGTGTGGGACCGCACTCGTATTGCCCCCGTTTGACATTAGCTGAAATAAAATGTCTACAAACTTATTTAAAAAGTTATCGAAGTTTATGAGATAAACTCGAGCTTTTTCAAAAATAAAACAATAAATAATATTTTTATTTTAATTTTTTTTTTTAATAAAAAGGAAAGCCTAAAAGCAAGCTGCATGTGGTAGAAGAAAGCAACAAGCTTTAGGCCAACTGCCAACAGACGAGGAAAGGAGTAGGAATGTGAGTCCATTGCCTTTAGTCGCAACTCGCATTGCCCAATATCATGTACACAAACAAATCAATGGCCACCAATAGGTCCACGTCCATTGCTCCTCATCTTGAGGATTTTTTTTTTATATTTTTTTTTTAATTTATTGATAAATAATATAATACAAATTGCTAGCTGCATTTTCTCAATCATATAGTATATTTGAATATTCTTCATTTTTATTTTGTTTAATCAAGTTTCTTCCTTTTTTTTTTCCCCATTTTTATTATCGAAATGTAGATCCCAATTGGATTTGGAACAATGTAACAATGAGTTATCCTTTAAATTGGCATTTCAAAAGTGAATTAAATCAATAAATTAATTCTTGCATTTTGTGTAGTTCATAGAAATTGCATGGTAAGAATGTTAATATATATTTATATATGTTAATGTTAGGTAAACTTAATTATAAATTAGATTTATTTTTTTCATTAATATATACACTCTTTTAGTAAAAGTTCACTTAAAAATATAATCTAAATAAAGTAACACATTCTACAATATAAATGATAGTTCGAAAAAATGACAAATAGAATTGCTATGCTCGGTACTAATTTCATCGAAACTCAACTATGTTGACCTTCCAAAAGGCTACTAAATTAATCAAACAAAAGACTCCGTTACATATTAAAGGCAACCACATACACAAGTAAATCATATATTGCAAAATAAATTTCTATATGATAATGTGGGGTGATGCTACGGTCCGGTTACGGAATCATTCCGTCAGAATTTGTAACCATTAGATCAACTATCCCCAGCGGTTACATGATGATCCAACGGTTACAAACTCCGACGGAATGATTCCGTAACGAGATCGTAGCATTTCGCTATAATATGAACCGTTACATAAGTCGTTATATCTATTTTTACGTTAGTCTAACACCGAATTACAATGTAATTAAATGAATTAACAATGAATTAACCATACTCATAAGAGTATACTTGTACAGAGCCCGTGCGATGCACGGGGTGCACTATTTTAAGGTCATTTATCCAGCCTTATAATTATATAAATGAATAAAGAATATTGTACTGGATATATATAGTACGTGACATGTGCGAGACATGGGATATATTTATTTGGAGATTATTATACTACAAGATGCAATATTCAATAAATGTTTTACAATACACGAAAATAAATATAAATAATGTAAATATCTAAATACATACACGATATGTAGAATAAATAAGTCAAATTGCAAATCTAAGAATATAATTAAAAAAAAATTGAAAATATATTTCACTAAACATGTACAAAAATATTTAAATACATATACGAAAATAAAAAAAAAAAAAAAATATGTTTCAGATTTTGAAATTAAAACAAAAATTCAAATAATTTGGCTTACAGTTTTATCATGCAGAACAAACTCGAGATATGATTTGTATGTAATGTCGCAATCTTGGAAAAACATTCTCACAATTCAAACTTTGAGCATAGGTCTATTATACCTATTGTCTTGTTTGATTAACTCAAATCATTGATTCATTGTTTTGAATAAAAAACTAATTGAGAATATTTTTTTTTTCGCATGAGGTTGACAGTGAGGAAAATGTTTGAGATTTGTAATTTATAATGGGTAGAGTAAATATATATTGTTGTTAATATTTTTATTAGAAAATATGAATATGAATATACATAAATCGGTTTGAACAAAATCAGAGCAGATTTTCATACAATTAGATAATAAATTAGATAATAAATAAAACCTTTTTTAATTACTTATGGGATGTTATGGAGTTTTTTTTGTTAAATTGATTTTATGGGATATAATACAAATACAATTAGAGGATTGAACAAAATTAGAACAGACTTCCATAACAATTAGATAATAAGAAAGAATTAGATAAGGAAAAGAATGAATTAGATAAGGATATTTGAATCTGTCTTTTTTTTTTTACTTCACTGATTTTATGGGATCTGTTTTGACAAAATCGATGTTAATATGGAAAAAGACAAATAAATAAAGTCTTTTTTATTTTTGTAAAGATTTTACGTCTTTTTTTACTTATAAGATGTTATGAGATTTTTTTCTTAAACTGATTTTATGTGATATAAGACAAATAAATATAATAATTAAATATAATTATGGATAGAAATAACAATGCATTAATTATGTTGACTTTTAAACTACTAAATTTGGTAAATATGATACTTTATTATATAACTATAGATACTATTTTTTTTTTTTTTTTTTTTT